AAGACTTTTCTCTCACTATAAAAAGTAAATTGCAATCTGATATGTTTCAATGGAAATATCTAAACATTTTTCCATGCCCTGTTATCTCTGAAAAAAGGAAAATTTATGTGAGCTAAACAGCAAATAATTGGTCCAGGTATACTGAATTTCACATTACATAATCTGTCCATTGTTAAACTTTCAGGAAGCATTAACCCAGAATGCATTAACCATCTTGCACTAAGTATAAATAACACCAAATAACTAGAGCAGTTATGAATATGCCAATTTTTAACAGTTCTACTACACAAAATGAAACATGAGTTCAAAAAATACATAATTTAGGCATGAATTAAGAATATTTAATGCTGTTATTTGAACAAAGTCAGCAAAAATACAAATTGGTCACATTAAACATGCTTATAATGAAAAATAGAGGAACTTTAATAAAAAATTGTTGAAGAAATGTGATTTAGAGGTACATACAAAGAAAGACATCTGGCATCTAAAGCAAGATATATGCAAGACAGTGACACTGGGCTAGATAGTAAGGCCCTTCAATTTAGTTTTTTTTATATTTAGATGCATACAGATATGCATGGCCCCATTATAGTTGATGGAAATCTAATCAACACAGTTGGAGTCAAAAGAGCAATTTAGTTCACCTTAGAGCAGATATTGAAGCTATGACCTTAGTAGCAAATATAACAGCTTCACAGCTTAGATTCCTATAACACTTAAATTTAGGTGTTTAATGTCATGGTGCAGTCACATCCCTTTTCTCCTCAGCTTTGTAGGAAATTTATGGAGAAAAGCTTACTGTGAGAACTTAGAGAAAATTATTTTAAAAACCCTGATTTCAGTCAACCCTAGATTTTCACTCACTCATACCCACTTACAAGCACAGAGATGTGTTTTTCTGAGTGGTCTGGCAAGGATCATCTGTGTGTTATGACAATCGAAAAGGATATGGTTGTTGATTCCTCTCTGCATCTCTTGCCTTCCTACTCACTGGTGATAAGGAATGGGTTTTTGGACTGCTGTTCAATACCATTTGGAAATCAAACGTTCTTTCAGGGTGATTCTTCTATTTCAGAATTTAATTTCTCTTTTCATCAATCTTAGACAATGGGTTACCTCTTGTATATATTTCTCCATTTGAGGTACTTTTAAGGTTGCAGTCTGCTTTCCTATTAGGATAAGAGGAAGAGGACTGATACATATAACACATATACCTTCATTGCCATCCTTCTGTTATCAGACCACAGGTCCTATGATCTTGACAAAACCACATTCTCCAGTCTTTGCCAGTTTGGTTGCTGTCAGTTTTGTTCTTTGCCATCAACACAAGCCATTCTTTTAGCTCGTGCTTTATTGTTTCTTATGGAATCATAATTTAGTTTGGGTTGGAAGGGACCTTTAAAGCCCATCTAGTCCAACCCCCCTGCAATAAACAGGGACATCTGCAGCTAGATCAGGTTGTTCAGAGCCCTGTCCAGTCTGCCCTTGGACACTTCCTGGGATGGGGAAGTGTTCAGAGGCAGACTGAATGGGGCTCTGAGCTCTGTGTTGCCCACCATTCTGAGCAGCATGGTTCGATAATCAACACACAGTTTCTTAGTCAGTGAAAAAGCTCGGAAGTTGGTGTTTTAAAATAGATATGAAAGCAAAAGCTCTTTCTCACCTTATACTTTTCAGTAAGTTGTGACAAAAATTAATCTTGTATTTCACTAGCACACAAAAGTCTTTATTTTCTATCTGGTGAAATTTAAATAAGAATTTATAAAACTTGCCAGTTTAAGAACATAGGATTTGTTTGATTTTAGACATAGTTATGAAGTCTAATGATAAAGCAGTTATACTATATTGTGCAGAGCCAGATTAGCTCGTAGAGCAGATTAGGACCTATCGAACATGTACTTGCAAGGTCAGGTCATGAATGGTAACTACCTGCATTGGAAAAATTATGTGTTATGATTTTGTGCTAGTTTACCTTGTGTACTTCATGTGATCTTTGTTATCTTCTGTTTAGGCCTATCCCAGTCAAAACTGACACATTAATCTTTCCTTTACTTTACACAGATCTGCCATGTCCAGCATTTCTCTGTACGCTTTTTGCTTTAGAGCTCAGCTACTGCCCCAGGAGGCAGAAGCACTGGAAGCTGAGTCTGCCAGATGTAGCCACTGCTTCTATTTGACTTCCCACCTGGGCTGGAGTGAGAACATAAACACTGCACTGGAAGGACTTTTGCAGGTGAGTACTGATGTGTCCCCAGCCTCTGAATCACTGCTGAGCTCAGTGGGACACTTACAGCATGGAAACTGTGCAGTCCTGGCTGACTGGCTGGTTGGGACCTATTAACTTCATCACTATCTCTGCTGGTTCTATCCTCATTCCACCCAATTGATGAGTTTTTAAGAGAAATATGGAAGTTAGCAGACAGTTATAATGTAATGACAGTGAATGGATGCAGAAGTTTTGAATGGGCACAGTGACATTCCCATGTATCACATGCTAAGGAGGAATGAGTGACTGCTACCAGTTCTTTACTTGAGCCTAGATCCTGGAGAATTGGTTTCATTTCCTGCTATATTCTGCTGAGAGCTCAAGAGAGTCTTTCTCCTTGATATCCTGTAGCACTTAAGACAACGGTCAACCCTAGCACAGCAAGGAAGGCAAGTGCTCTGTTTCAGGCAAGGATATGCAAACACCTATTTGCTTAATCCAAGAGAAGACTGGATTCATATGTCTAGTAGTGTATCAGAACACGGTACTGCAGGGACAGACAAGCAGCCAGGCAAGAAAAATTATCATGTATGTGTCACTGGAAAAGCAAAGTTTTGCAAAATGTGCATACCATGAGATGATTGGTAACATGTTTCTGTCTGCTGGATATTCTGCAAGGAGGGGGTTATTATTCCCTGGAGATTAACTGATTCTGCTTGGGGAGAGAAATTTACAGAGGCGATAGGACAGGTCAAGTGGAAGAGAGTGATGATTTATTTGAAAAAGCTTGGTGCCTCCACATGAAGGAAAGACAGCGTTCAGTTTGTGATATCAGTCCTTGAGTGGCTGCAATGTGAAAGGGACAGTGATATATGCGATATATATGAGCTTTGTACAAACAGACCACAGCTCCAGAGATGAAATGGAGCTGGGGGTAGGATTCTGGTCTGGACATCATTGCTACAGCTTCAGAACTATATCTCTAGAAGCAGAATAGTCCAACCTATAAGATGCCCCTCTTTGCAGAACACCCAGAGCCTGACTGTGTGGCCATAAAATGGAAAACTGGTAGAATGCAACTCCTCTTGGAGGAGGAACAACAGTACTTCCCACCTGGGCTAGCTTTAGAGTTCCCTATGGACTCTGAAGCTAAGTTTCCTTGGTTTCTGCTGTAGCAAATGGCCTTACACAATAGAGGATGCTTGTACACTCTTCAGAAAAACCATTAACAGATCCAGAAGCAAGGTCATTATCCCCAGAAAGGATGAAACCATCTTCACATAATTTGAAAGTTTTGCATTTTAAAGGTCCTGCAGACCTTTGAAATGCACTTTCTTTCCTGAGGTCCCTCAGGTATCCATAGTGGTCCTTCAGAGAAAGAGTGAGCCAAACAGCTTAAGTCAGTAATAGCTTCAAACACTCATTGAATCCTCCTCTGCACTCAGGGTATCAGACTTAAGAGCACTGGGTTACTATTCAGAATATATCTTTAATATCTCACAGGGGATGCAGATAAAAGGCATCATCAGAAGGATAAACTTCTCTTACACCAATCCTATATCTGAGAGCTTATCCTGTATCAGGAAACAGCTGCAATTTGCCTAACCCAGTTGTGCATCAGCAAAGAATTTGTTTAGAGGAAGGTGTTCCGAATGAGGTACCAACATCTGAAAGACACCAACGTGCAGCTATATCTTACTGTATTTACTGTCTTCTCAGAATGTATTGCTACATTTATCAGAATACATTGATTACCAGTTTATAAACATGTATAGTGTAGACCTGCCTGGTCAGTGAAGCATTTCATGTCTCGTAAGTTCTAACAGGATGTGTTGCCAACGGGTTGTGATTGCAAACAACTCAGTGTTAATAACCTAACAGGAAAGAAATGGGAGGAGAAGTGATGGCCTTACTTCCTCGCTTAGCGTCTGGGACACATGGTTGAAAAGAGTTTGAATCAGCAATTATCACACGGCAGAGACAATAAAGAATAACCAAAGAATAAGCAGAAACACATCTATGGTATTTACGGGATTAAATGGTTTATTTTTGTGCCTATGAAGGTATAGAAGACACAGCAGGGTAGAAATATAAAACTGGCAAACAAGCTTATTTCAGACCAGTGGGGAAGTTTCAACCTAGCAGCATGATGGAATGTGATGTGTTCATACCCTTAGATAGAGAATGAGAAATAGAATATTAACATATTATTACATATTTTATAGATGTATCAGCATAGCAAAAATTTGCAGAACAGAATTGATCCCTGTTGCAGATGTGCTTCAGTTCTAAGTCACAAGTAAAAGTAAAACCAGAAAAATAAGTGCATTAAGAAAATATGATCAAAATATTTAGGGGTATGCTTGTCTTGCAATTTTGTGCAAAGTCAGCAGTTATCTCCTGAAGGGGGAGAAATGGATACCTGTAGAGAAAACCTCTTACTAGTTATCAGCTAAATCTGTTGTTTTCTGTTCGAGTGCAGTATTGTTTGGTGGCATTTGAGTGAAACCTCAGAAATCCATCAATGTGCAAACACTACAAATGATGAACTTAGCATTGAAAGAGCAAATGAAAACATTATTTTCTCTCATTTATTTATTTGGTTTTGTTGTGAGGAAGCTGTAATTTAAAAAGAATTAATTTATAATCTGTCTGATCGTGTAGCAGGCATATTGAATTTAGATATCATTAGGTTAGAGTTTGCCCTGCTGAATTGGTAAATACAGTAATTCATAGACAATTAGGTGCTTGCTGATGTCTTTCAGATGCTGAGCACTGTGAAGTGTACTCCCTGTGCCATGCCTGTGCAAGCAGTTCCTGCCCTCCTCCCACTGCTGCCTATTCTTCCAGTCCTCAGATTTCATAGCCTCATTTCAGCAGTAAGTGAAGATTTGACATTGTTGGCAAATTTGCAACTGTCTGGTGGCTGAATTAAAATGATGCTGTGTGGTAGTCTGACTAAACCAAACTGGCAGAAAGCATAATCATATCTCAGACCATCTACAATTTCGCAGCTATTTAAGATTGTCTCTTCCCCATACATTTAGCAACTAAAACTTATTAAACTCTGAGTAAACAGCCTTGTTTGTTCTGTTCTCATGGAACCTCATAGTTATGGATTTGTCAGTATTCTAACCATTTAAGCTTGGTCTATGTCTTTTTTTTTGGCAGGGATCTAAAGTCCCTTGCATGTCTGTATCTGGTTTATCATCTGTGGCATCTGATCCTGGAGTGATTGTTTCTGTAGAGCACAATATGCCTCAGAGTCCACATGTCCTACAATCTGCCTGGCCTCTGAGGAAGATTATTTTTTGCTGATGAAAATCAAATGTATTCCACAAAACAATTATTACAGTGTTTAAATTCCTCATAGTAGTCAAGGAGGAAGAACCTGAGCGGTATTGTCTTTTCTGAACTAATAATGAGTTTTCAATAAATCCTCCACTATGTTCAGGAGGCATTGTATAATTAAAGCATTAGTAATAAAGATATGAAAGAATCTCTTCTTCTGGTTTTTTTTTTTTTTTTTCCCTTTTCCTGCCTACACCATCATGTTCCCTTGGCTATTCAAGAGCACAATGCCTCCTTACCTATTAGGAAAACACATGTTAAATGAATAGGCAAAACTCCAGCTTCACCACTGAAAGTAATGAAGTTTCCTAACATGAGCTCCATTGATACTCTCTACACTAATACCTGCCTTGTCACTTGCTATGTTCTAGGTTGGAGCTCTTCCATGGATTCTGAAAGGAGAAATAGTCTGAAATTTTCATTCCCTAGACAACTTAAAATTAGACAAGGGCTCCAGTCCTGAAAACTGGTAGGAGGAGGGAGTAATCTTGAATAATATCAATAATGTTTGGAAAATTACTCTTGAGTTACAGTACGAAGGGTTTACAGAAGCACATCATAAGATCTTGCACAAAATAGTTGGTTGTCAGTGCAAGCATTGTGATGTATCCCAAACAATGCCCCTTTCTAATGAAGAGGGCTGAAGTAAGGGACTTTTCTTTTGGAGTTTTGTTTGTGTTTTAGGATGCAATCATCTAGTCTCTGGCAATCAGACTGACCCTATCATACAAATCAACCATCAGATAACAAAAGGTTCTATTCATTGCCAGAGTTGGGGCAGTATCAAACCAGTAATTTCATCACTAGCTTGCAATCTAACTACTTTCAACTACTAATAAAAAGTCCAACCATGACTTTTGTTTTAAAATATGCTCACTTTAGAATAGGAGTAAAGTTCATACTTCAAAAAAAAAAAAAAAAAACACCCACACAAAAAACCCAAAACCAAACAAAACCAAAGAACAGTTGAATTCTTGTGTCAAAGCATAAGAACAACTTTGTTAGATCTGTCTAGCTCACTGATCTGTCTCTGACAGTGGCTACTAGTAGACTATGGCCGAGTGAGTGCTACAGTTTTATTATGTGGCACATGAAAAGATACTTCCTTTTATTTGTTCTAAACCAATTGATTAGTTCTAAACCAACTGATTACAAGTTGCCTTGTAATTTCACTGTGTTGTACCTTGTCCTTATGTTCCTATGTTATGGGAGACAGTGTTCACCCTCTCTGTGCTTTCCACAGTTCCTACATACTTCTCTCCAATTTCCCCATATTTTTTTTTCCATACTGAAGAATCTTTGTTAATTTAATTCCAAATCTCCATTTATACTTATTTTCTGATTTTAGTGTGTCCTTTTGGGGTAGCATTACAGTACCCTATTTCCATTTCACTTTTTACTGTTTTCATAATAGTTCTTGCTAATCTTTTTTCTGCTTTGATCACTTCTTAATATTGAAAATATTTTTTCAGAGAACTTTCCATAAGATCCACCTCCTTCATGCTCATTTGAAATTTAGTATTTAAAAGTTTGTAAGTTTGTCACCTTATGGTTTGTTCTCCTTCACAGTGATAGATATGAATTTGCTTTCATGAATGATAAATTTAATTTGCCCCTCTTATCATGCAGATATTCTATATCATAAGACCATTCTGCAACTTTTCCTTATCATTTCCAGTGCTGACTCTTGTAATTCATCTTGTACCATTTTGAGATTTTTTTCCTCACTATTTACCTCTTAATCAGATAATTTAAGAATATGTTAGTATCATATGTCTAAAGGCAGATATCTGAGGGATTCTGCTGGTGCCTTCCTTCTGTGAGAAAAATCTACCATTTGTTTTTAGTATTATTTGATTGTTTTTTGATCAGTTGTTTTTTGATCAGTTGTTAATCCATGAGAGGAATTTCCTTCTTCCTCTTTTGACACAGAACTCTTTTAAAAGAGCCTTTGTGACAGAATCTCTTCAAAAGCTTCTTGAAAATCTAAATTCATTGAGGAGATTAAATAATAATTCCTTAAGATAATTATAGTTCACAGTAATGGAAATAATTTGTAGTACTAGATTAGGGAATAGAATTCAGCCATGCTTACACTGCTGAAAAGTCCAGACTTGACACCTGCTAGTCTCTAATCTATCATGAAGAAAAGCTCAAGGAAGTAGCAGAAAGCTGTTTTTTCGGTAAGTCCAATCAGTGTTTTCAGTTGGTCACCTCTCTGTGGTTCAGTGGGCTAAGCAACCAGGTAGGTGATTGACATGGGAGGATAAAAAATGGGAACTATGTTTTTTAAAGTCATGATGCAGATGATTCAGTCTAGAGATTTATTGTAACTACCGATTTAGAGGACTGGCATATCACTGTAACCAGAGATAAATCTCAGTATGAATTTCACTGCAAACCTTCAGTAATATGTGAAGTCAGAATGTCATGTGATTATGAAGACAGAAGTAGTTCCTAAGATTGAATAGCTTCATGGAAGATTGAAAGGAAGATCTAAAGGGCTCAGCAAACTTATGGGAAGCTGGGCTAAATGAGATTCTGATGAATCTCTTCCAATTTTCTTTAACACCAGAGCTATGGTTTTTATATTTTATATTCTTGGCTCCACAAGATGTTTTGTTTACCCAACAGAGATATTTCTTCTCCTGCAGACCTCTTTTGGTCTCTTTTACTTCTCTTTAACCTTATAGGCTAGACATATTAGTGTACCTTGATAACAGTAATCCATTTGGGATTGCAGGAAAACCGAGAAGCAGAGATGTCACAAAATGTGAATATATATGGTCTTAACTGCAGGGAATAGTTATCAATTGTATCTTGGCTTCACTGTGTGAAGTCAAGGAAAATCTAAATTTAATCAAAGAGGCAGATGCAACTTTGCCAAACCTTCTAGTATTTTTCTTTGCCATTTTACTGGCTGATAGCCATTCCTAACTGGAAATAAGACAGAATTTAATCCCTGAGCAGTAGACAAAATTTGCTATGACCCATCTTTATTGTGGAAACTGAATTATCTTTGTCTAGGAAAAAATGCCAGAATATTGCACATGATGTCTGTCAAATATCAGCTGGTTATGAAAAGAAATTTTTATGCTTGGGTAAAAAATGCCAAACTTAAGGTTTAGATGGAGAATGGGAATTGGAGATTGATCTGTAAGAAATTACATCTTAGAAGTACAAAGCAGTTTTAAATATCCATAACTGGCATTTTCTTAAAGTCTGCTAAAATATACATAAATATATATAATATATATATATAAATAAAAAAAAGGAGAATTTCAAGGGACTGAAATTCATTATGATTTATAGAAGACAATATGTGGTAAAGCTGTGCTGCTTTTTAAGCTACCATTCAACAGGAAAGAAACATTAACAAGTCTAGATATTTATTCTTCTTTAACTATATATAAATGGCCAGTCTCTTCGCG